AACAGACTCACACAGAGAGAGCGGGTGCAGGTTCACGCAAGGAGAAGGGGACAGTGATACACCGGTCTTTTGAGGAAGTTGGAAGTTCCGAACTCTGAAGCAAGGCAGCGCAGTGGTAGAAGTGCGCCCACACATAACACACACGCAAGCAGACACGCACGCAYGCACACACACACACATACACGGTGAGAGACAGATTGAGAGAGAATTCTAGTTTTGACTTTGCTATTCTTTTATTTATTTACTATCGCTGTTTATTCCCTAAAACCAATTTTTGTAAACTTGTGGATATCATCCCTACTGGTCGCCGAGGACCTCGGAAGCGGGCGCGGCGAAGTGACAGGCGCCGTAGCCCATGGCTTCAGCGAACGGTAGGTAGCCCCTCCCTGGGTTCTCTCCCAACACCGTACGCGAACCGACAGCTTAGGGGGCTGAAGTCCCAAGCACGATTCGACGTCGGTCGACTAGGACGCATCCCACACACCACGCGCACTCCACTTTACAAACACACATACACACAAAACAACACATATACGAAACGACACAACACAAACGACGCGACAACGCTCCTAGCCCCTCGGTAGCCATCCCTTAACTTTCCGTCGCGGAAGTCGGATAGGCGTCGCGCGCGAGACTTAATATAACCGCGCCTACGCAGGGTTAACTCATATCGACTTGCAATGCAAGCGCACGCAAGCGGTCGCAATGATGGCGTACTATGTAGTACCCATACTCACGAGGCCCTTCTTAATCTCGAGGGTCGCATTCGACACTCAAGTGTCGGCTGACACGCGCCTTGAGGGTTAATCTCTCGACGCTCGACAACCGCCAGGCGTGGTTGAAGACCATACACCCTCTTCTGCACCTTATGCAGAGTGGGTGGTACACAGGTCCACATCTATAGTGGTAGTCGTCTCTCGCGGCCCTAGGGGTAAGTCCTCCTCGGCCTGGGCGAAAGTCAAGGGGTTTGACTTTGACGGTTGCCACGGACTACAACGTCCAACCATAAAAATCTCTAAAAAGCAAGGGATAAAAGGGGATCTCCTTTTTCTCTCAAACTCATAATCTGTTTAACCCTTACGCGCGGTCCCGGTAGGCCGCACGAAACACTCGAGACATATATATACACATATGTATATAGAGGGTTGTTAATATAGAACGATCATTTCTCACAGTCACAGTGGGACTCCTCTCAGCCATATATATATATATATATATTTATATATATATATATATATATATATATATATATGTGAGCGCAGGCAGTCAAATCCCAAGTCCGAATCACCAAGCATACCTGCAATCACATCAAGGATTCAACCAGAAAGTCCATGCGCTACACGGGGTCAACTTCAACCATTCTCTGTTCTCATACCTCTTGCTTTAGCCATGCAAACCTCAACCTCAGCACAACCTCCCCGCAATAAAAATACTCAGTATCTTCGTTAAATGGCCATTCACTAAAGTCCGGGTAAAAACACAACAAAACAAATAAACCACAAGTCTAAATCTTTTAGGTTGAGTGGCAGGAGTGAATTGAAGTTGAGTCGTAAACCGACGAGTCGGCAACCGACCTGTTATCAGTAATAACAAAAGATGATCCTCAAGGGATCAAGCTGAATCTAGTCCTGAACTTGAACCAAACAATCAAGAGGACCTGTAACACACGACAGGTTATGCCCCAGGCTAAACCTATAAGTCCATGGAGAACAATCTTCATATCATGATCTTACCAAAATCATCCTAGTTACCTATATCTAGGTTTACCTCTAAGCAAGTGCCCCAAGAAAGGTAGACTCATGACAAAATCTCCCCTACTCAGAATGGATTATCAGAATCGTCACCTGTCAAAATATAATCGATCTCCCTTAAATTTAAAAAATTTCGGCAACGCTTCTCGTAGGGAAAGTGCCTTTCCAAAATTTATATAAGTCTATATATGAAAGCAGAAATAACCTCTAACTCCGGAAAGTCAAATTTGTCTAACTCCCTGAATTAGTAAAAATTTGGGCAGCACTCCCTGTAGAAAGGGAGACTTCCTAGATTTATACTAAGTCAGATATGAACTCAAGAGACAACTTAGACAAGATTTCGCTAACTCCTTAGTCTTGCAGAAATTTCGGCAGCACTCCCTCTAGAAAAGTGGTATTCCAAAATTTATACAAGGCTAAGTCCAGAATTTGAAAATAACTTTGGCTTCTCAAAGTTCAATTTTGTCTAACGCTCTGAATTAACAAAAATTTGGGCAGCACTCCCTTTAGAAAAGGAGACTTTCCTAATTTTTCTAAGTCAGATATAAAGAAAGACAAATTAAACTCTGACAAAGCAAAATTTGACTAACTCCTTGGTTTTGTAGAAATTTCGGCAGCGCTTCCAGTAGAGAAAGTAGCTTGTCAAGATTTATACAAAGCCAAGTATAACAAAAAGATTCCAGAAAATGCAAGAATTGATCTAAGTAAACGAAAGTTACTACAGAAAATAGAGGAATTGAACTAACTTCTATCCTTCACGCAGTCCGGCATACTGATACGATAAATCCACTAATTCTAGTCTAAATCTAACTTTTCCATCTAATTCGCCTATGTCCTAACCCCAATTTCAACCTTTACCTCGCCCATTTCCGTTAAGGAACGGGTGAGCTACGAGATTCCTCTCTTCCGCCATAGCACCCTGCATGCTGCCTCCGCGCATATGCCTTTTTCTCCTATCTTCCACCCTGCTAACCCTCTCCAAAAACTAACACCACCTCCAAATTCGCAATACGTGAAAACCCCAACTCATCACCTTCTCTTCCATGATTCCATCAAGAATCGAGTGAAAACTCGATTCTCCATCCTCCACCTTTTTTTCTCCCGCCTTATCTCCACGCGGTGTTTTTCTAATCTCATTCCTTTTCTACTAACTTTCTCCTTATTCTGAGCTCAGAAACGGGGTCACCACCCCAAAAAAAACCCTCGCACGGTTCCTCACTTCACCGAAATCCATCCCAAAACGACCGACCAACACCTTCTTCTCCATCTTCATCCGCGTCTTCACCATAACTCCGCGCTCCTTCTATCTCACCTCTCTTTCATTCTACTAACTCTCCTCCTAATCTGACTTCACGAATGAATTCGCCCGGGGCCAAAACCCTCGGATCACTTCTTTCCCCTCCCGAATCCGCCTCCAACTACCTGCGCTTCTACTCTCCTGCTGCGCCCGAACCCTCCGCCCTGCCATATCCCCCATGGAACGAACTTGGCGCGATATCGTGCCCGGGTTCATTCACCCCTCGAATGCCTCCGCCTCAGTTCCCGACTCCCCTCGGCACCGCGCCCATCCGGTATTCAGTCCGCTGGCTGCACTCGGCCAGCCTCCTTCCCATCCCCTCACTGCGTTTGAATGCACCTAGCGGGACCCCGCGCCCAGGTTCAACCCCCACTGTGCTATGGCTTCATCCCCACCACACAGCGCTGCCCGGTGCACTACCTACCCACTGTCGCCTGGTACCGCCAGTTTCGTTCCCTCACCTCGTTAACATCCGTCACCGGCTTGCGGCCTCGCTCCGCCTGTCGCGCACTTAATGCTGCCCAGCCCGCCTACCACCTGCGACCTACATGTATGTTGACGCCTCCGCCCTTGCCCCACACGTATCTGCCACAGTCCCTCGCCCCGATTAGCCCTCTGCTGCACCACTGCTCCGTCCGCTGCAGGCGTCCCGAACTGCGCCGACGAACTACCGAATGTTGAGCAAAAAGCATTTGGTCGTCGGGTCGTCCTCCATTTATATAGGTCGTCCCTAGCGTAGGGACAGTGCTAACCTTCTCTGTAGCGTCCTAGTTTTAACAGATGTCCGAAAGGACTCGACCGGGGCAATCCCCCGCGGCTCCCCCAAAGGCCACACGGCCTTTACCTCGGCCTACTGGTGGG